CTAATAACAGTATCACTTTTTTACCTACATCGACCCATTCTTGTGAAATACACTTATACCCAAGGAACACACTTTTAATGTAAGGAAAAATATTTTTTTCAAGTTTTACAAAACCAAAAAGCTACTTTACTGACCCCTAATGGCTGAAATAAAGCATCTCCATCCCAGTATTTATGGATGAGTACAGCGTGGATCACTATGGAGGTGGTTGTGAAATGTTGCAAATGTTTAACAAAGTAGTATAGTCATCTTCAACAGGGGTGTCAAACTCATTTTTTCTCTTCATCTAATTTTACATATTTTTGTATTGTGACCAATACATTGAATTTACCTGAGTTTGGATATTAAAGTATGTTAAAGTTTCTGTAAAAATGATGATTGAAAATAATTTCAGGGGCCACCAAAAATGGTCCTCATAGGCCGGATTTGGTATACAGGCACGGAGGCAAACTGGAGGACCTGCACAATATATCAAATAATCATCGTAATAAGCGTTTTCTGCTATTAAAATAAAATAAATGTAAATGTGATCTTTATATATCCCTGTAGGGAACTTTGTCCTCTGCATTTGACCCATCCTGGGGCCGCTTGGGCGTCTGTCAGGAGCAGTGGTCTCCGTAGTACAGCGCCAGGGAACCCATCTCCAGACGTTGACACTCTGCTCGGTCAGGACCAGAGCTGGAGGACTTTACCCAATGTGTATTGTCAAAAAATCATGCAAAAACCGAATCATAGTGAGGGTCCACTGTAACCTGAAATGTTATGTACATCAGAGGGCATGACAATAGACAAGTAGACTGTCGTTGTGCCCTCTACTCCGGTCTTCATCTTAAATCATCCCAGTGGCTGCAGCTTGTTAAAAAGGCTGTTTATAAAGCCCTTCACACTTCACAGTCTGTCACCTTCATATATTTAAGATTTATTTGTGCCTCATGAACCTGTACACAGTCTCACGTCCTCAAACTTCAACCTTCTTGCTGCTCCTCCTGTAAAACTGAAAGGAAAGAAGCGGCTTTCTCCCACTATGCTTCTTGTAAACATGCGCCAAAGCTGTTCTCATTCAAGAGTAGTACCCAAAAGACCCACAATTTTCTTTTCTATAGACCCAGATATGTCTCTATACCAATTTTCCTGTTTGCATTACATTGCATGGTAATATTTTTAGCACCAAAATTCCTAATATACGCAATTTAGTTGTTCTTCTGCTATAGTCACTTTTAATTTTATTGACTACATTTTAAAGTTTAACATGTTTGCACACTTCCTGTCTTTTTGCACACCCTGAGTGATGCCAAAAACGACACCAAGATCAAAAAAGTGTCTCTTCTATTTTCTTTTCTATTGTAAAATATACAAGATATTTGAAAACATGTGACCTAATGTTCATCATGACCAAAGAAACGACTTCTACGACTACATTGTCTCTGTCATGTATCATTTCCATCCTTTATTCCATGCATGGTTATGGACCTTCTCCTCTAAAAGTAACTTAAGTAGATTGAATATTTACAAGTTTAATTATGTAGAAGCATCTATGATTTTCAGATCTAAAATTGGAGCGAGTGAAGGCGGACTATTTCTATATCCCTTTGTCTGTTGCTGCTGGCCATCCTGCTGTCCGGCTGCGGTGAGGCTTCTGCAGTATTAATTCCGGAGAAACTACTTCACAGTCAGCTGCTTTAAATAAACACTCAGACATTATGAAATATTTCTGTATGTACGAAGCATCTCAAGGTAAAAGCCGAAAGTGGAAAAACGCCATTTCCTCGATCCTTCTTCCTGGCTGCGGCTGGGATGAGAATGGGGTCTGATTAGGTGAGACCCAAATAGGACAGCGAGAGCGTAATGACTCATATGGACAAGTCTTTGAGCTGTTTGCCTCGAATAACCTTTCAACGTTTGTGCGTGGAGATGACCAGAGCTGACTGCTGCCTCAGCTGCACATTCAATCACAAAACACCAGGGAAAGGTGTTATCGGGAGGACACAAATAAATCGGACAAGGCAAGTGAATGCAGCAAATGTGTATCGTGAAAACAGGTTTAGAATGGGGAAGTTGGATAAAATTAGATATGGTTTCATTGAATTATCTTTTGACATTATGTGTGTGCTAAAAAATAGATTTTAAGTTATATATTTATGCATATTGATTTCTATTTTGATAAAATATCTTTTGAATGTGTACATATTTTAATTCAATAACAATTCATCCTAAAAGAATTAAAAATAAATGCATACATTTTGTTGTCAAAATCAGCAGAGCTTTTAGATAAGGGGCCCAAAGCCTGTTTTTTTTAAAGAACAAATTATTGATGGCATGTCTCAATAGACTTTACCAAGCCTTTAGTATTTACTAAATGGTATCAAATGGTTTTTAAATTGACTTGAAAGTCCCCTGTATCTAAACATCCATCCATTTTCTTCTGCTTTATCCCTTGCCGGGTCTCTCCTTAGACTGCAGCGTCTCTGCAGTCTAAGCAGAGACGCTCAAACCTCCCTCTCCACTTCCTACAGTTCACCCACGGCAATCCTGACACGTTCCTAGACCAGCTGAGAGACATAGTCCCTCTAACGTGTCCTGGGTCGTCCCTGGGGTCTTCTCCCAAATGGGACAAACCCAGAACACCTCCCCAATTAGGCTCCAAAGAGGCATTAGAAACAGATGCCAGAGCCTCCTTAACTGGCTCCTCTAGAAGTAGAGAAGCAGCAGCTCTACTCAAAGCTCCTCCCTTACCCTATCTATAAGGAAAGGCGATAAGGCTTGATCCCCCTGTATCTAGATACACACTTGTGTCAAGCATACGTATTGTACCAGCAGCTTCTGAAAGATACCCCGGCCTGTTTGACATTATATCTCATTAAAGGGCAGGGAGCTTATGTCATTGTAGCAAACGATAAAGAGCAAGATGTAGTTGAAAACACAACTTTTCCTAACACATTTGTGTTTTAACCCTTCACTGAGGGGTACAGTCTACAGTAAATCTGAATCCTTGTCTGCAATGGTTTAGCAAAGACTGCCAAGACGTTTAATGAGTGTTGTTAGTTTTTGCTGTAGAATCAATAACTCGGGTATTCTCCAGCAGGATAACACATAATAGGATTCAATGTGAATGCATTGGGACAATGTCTCGGGTCTCCCACTGCTGCTGCCGAGCTGCTTTGCATGAATTACAGTAAAGTCTGGAGTTGTGCACGCAGATAGGCCCCAAGCTGTTAGTCTGTTTTTTTTCTCAAAGCCAAAGACGGAAAATGAAAGAAGCAAAGAGGCCAGGAGTGGAGAGGGAGGTAGACGCAGTCCTGCGGGGAGACAAACTCACTGCAACAAAACGACTATACAAATAAAACAATGACAGAGAAAGAACTTTGATTCAGAAGACAAAAGTTTAGTGAAACTTTATATTCTTCATTTTACAGTTTTAATTTGGCACATGGCACAATCAGCATGTATGCATCTGGTATACATAAATAAATATTAAATATTTTATACATAAATATACATATAGAGCTCATACAAAGACTCCTGGAGTGGTCTTGGCTGGAGGTGTTTGATAAAACTACAATACATAGAATGACTGTCTGAATAGTTACTGTCTATAAGTGAAATCTCTATAGAAGCCCTATACATATATGTATGTATGCCCATATTTATATATATGTATATATTTTCAAAAAAGAAGTACAGGTGTGCACTGATGGAGTTATTCAGTGCAAACAGGCCACTGTCTGCTTGTACAAAGTCAATGGAATCATGTCTGTTAGTTCGATTGAATCTTTAACTATTTTTTCTTACATTTAAAATAATAGATTTATTTCATTATCTTTAAGCAAAATTAGACATACATAACTTTTGAAAAGAACAAAAGTGCTATTTTGCAAACACTGACACCCAGAGACGCGGCGGCAGAAACACTACAGGTCATGGTCCCAAAGTAACAACATGAGAGTCCCGCCCCCAGCCCCATCAACCACAATGTACAACCATAACAAAGAAGTAATGAAATCAAAGGGAACAAGTGGCACTTTCTGTCTCACACATGCACACATTCACACATTCTCACATACACACAACACTCGCGGCTGCACGCACTCTCGCACACATACACACACCTACACACTCTTTTCACTGTTGTGTCTCTTGCGTTTCTTGGCCACTGCTTTCCTCAGGAACAGCACAGGCTCAGCAGCTCGGAGCCTGAGCAGTGCACTCAGTGGGGATAAAATCAGATTAACAGAGAAATAGGCTAACAAAGATGCACTTTTTTCTTAACAAAACAATCACAATTACACTATTATTTGCCTTCTAGTCTCCCCGGCAACCGCAATACAAACCATTTCTGTGTAAAAATAAAGGCTGTTGGGGGATCCACAACAGAACAAACGTTACCCAAATAAAAGCGTCCGTCCTTGTCCGGTCTTTCTCAAATCTGAGTCTCTTCAATGTAGCTCTCTCCAGTGGAATTGTCTCAGGAATTAGAAAGAAAGACAAAAAGAACACGCTTTGTAAGGCATTGAAACATAAACAAGAACAAAAGCAATTAAAACACTTTAATTTTTAGCAAATGTTGACATTGAGGCCATTGTTCCGGATGCGTCTCCCGCTGGAGGAGAAGGGCTGGGAAATAAAAAGCACTTCTCTCTTTTTTTTTTATTTAGTCATGAATTTGTATTCATAACAAACTATTGATATTTGCTCAGTCTGCTTAAAAAGGCTTTTTAAAATGATTTTTAGAAAAGAACACTGCAGAAATTCCCCCACCCCGATTTTGCACCTCTGCTCCCCACCGATCCGAAGAGGAGAAAAGCAGTTTGATTTTGGCAGCTCTGCACAACGTGACATCCACAGAGAGCTCGCGTCAACTCTCTTCGTAGTAAAAGTCTACAGAAATCTGTTTTTATTCCGACTTCTACTCGTCCCACTCACCCCCTTCTCTATACGTTCTCCCTGTTATATATATAAAACACAATCCACTGGTCTGTTTGCTTTGTCGGCCTTTCTTAAAGCTATACCCGGGTGGTCGAATGCGAGTGGGGGAGGCCGGTGGAGTTGAAGCCCGTGGTGAAGGTGTTGTATGGATGCAGATTGGGCATTCCCACCAGAGAGTTCGGGATCATGGTGATGGTATTGGGCGTCATGAGGGGAATGTCGTCCGGGGAGCGCCTCAGAGTGAGCGTGTAGTCCGGCAGCGCGGCCAGTCGGATCGCCCCTTCGTTGGCGTTGCCCGCGTCGCACTCGTGATGGCTCTGGTTCATCTGCAAAGACATGATCTCCTCCTCGGGGGCGTGGTGGCCGATGTCATTGGAGGTCGTCTGGCGCTGCGGGCTGGGCTGTCCGTGCCCCGAGTCCTGGCGCCGCTTATCCTTGCGATAGTAGAGCGCCGCAAATGCCAGAACATTAAGGAACAGGAGAGAAGCCCCCACGGCGATGGTGACGCTCAGCTCGGTAGAATAGTCTCTGGGATTCTCCACCACCAGCGGCCCGGTCTCCTCGTCGTCTCCGAGGGTGTTGTCTTCGCTGTTGTACGCGGGTGACATTGGCGGGCGCTTGGTGTTGAAGGGCCAGTTCTTGCCGTTGGGTCGTTTGGTGGAGAGCGTGTTCTGGGTGGTCTCGGGTGGGGGCACTTTGGTGGTGGTGGAGGTGTAGTGGAACATGTCGTGGAGGTTGTACAGATGCGGCACGAGGTGTTTCCAGAAGGCCACTTTGGTCGCGCGGTAGTGGTCGCGGACGCGGGGCTTGAGGCCGATGTGCAGGTACAGCTGGTCCTGAGGGTTGTACTTGGACCACGCCACCTCCTCGAAACGGTTGGCCTTGGTGTGGATGAACTTGGTGTCCTGGGGAACCGGTTTGTTTGGATCCCTGCACAGATACATAAAAAAGAAAGATATTATCACAATTTGTAATCTTACTATTTTATTTTCCGAGAAATTCAATATTATGCATGTTTTTGCCATTAAAATGATAATGAAACTATTTACTTTGTCCTGTTTTTGAATTTGTAAAAAATATCTTCAGTAGAGAATATATGTTAAAGCAAGTATCAAGGGTACATAGTGACAGAGTGAGCTATCTTTTATTTCAAATAGCAAGCACTCCCATGCGATTGTAAAACTGTGCGTTCACTTGAGAAATTGCTTAATCTATATGAGCATGATGTCATAGTGGTACAATTCAGATAATAATATATATTTTTATTCCCATTGTAAGTAACAAGAAGTCTTACACTAGGAATTTTCTTTGGCCTAAGGTGCAAACAAGCGATAATAGTATAGATATAAATAAGGCATGCATCAAAATGTCTTAAAATCACTACCATAAAAGTACACACAATAAACATCAAATACATCCCTGTGCAGGACTGAAACAGTAGCTTGCAGAGTTGTGGATGTATCTAAAAACAATCCTTGTCTATTTTTGATGAGGGAATATAGAAATAGAATATCAAAAATGTATAGTATGCACAATATGTATCCTTTAAAACATGTAGCCCTGAAACTATACTGAGTAAAAAGCATTTCAACTTTAATTGACCATTAGTCTGAATTTGTGGCAAATGCACACTGACACCATAATGAGTTATCGACTGAGTCTCCCGTAGAATCAAAGCACAGCAGAGGATCAAACAGATAAATAATATAGTGATTGTTGTTTTGTTGTTGCAATTTGAAAAAGAAGTGTGTTTATTAATAAGGCTGCAAAATAATGGTATGAATATAAAAATGGAACAATTATACAACAATAATTATTCAATAGTTTCACATTCATCTGATAAATCTCAAATGATACTCTGTTGGACTGACATAATTGTTTCTGATTTTTACTCTCTCCATGCACCGATTCACGCATGGATACTGAATACAATGTTGACCATGTGTCTTGCTCATTGACACAATAGCAGTATTAACTGAGTAGTTGGAATCCAAAAACCTCCAAACTAATGCAACAGCTTTACTCTGCTTGCTTCCCTTTCTCATAATTTAAACGCTTTTGAAATCTGCAAACACATCAATTATGGATTTGATTCCACGGTTGCAGAAAGACAATGTGAAGGGTTAGAAAAAAAAAACCAATAACATGTTGATTTGTAGCTGTGTGGGCTTTTATGGTTTGTGAAATCAGATCAGATTATTTACTAGCCAAATCATCATTATATTATGAGGATTATATAAGGATTTACAAAAAGAGAGAGAGAGAGAGAGAGAGAGAGAGAGAGAGAGAGAGAGAGAGAGAGAGAGAGAGACCAGAGAGAGAGAGAGAGAGAGAGAGAGAGAGAGAGAGAGAGAGAGAGAGAGAGAGAGAGAGAGAGAGAGAGAGAGAGAGAGAGAGAGACTACTGTGAGATTTCTGGAGTTTTGCCATGCCCCGACCCATTGCAGTCAATATAAGTACTGGATACACATAGCATACATAGTGTCTATATATTCAAAGTCAAATCCATGAAAAAAAAATTCTACACTATTAGAGTCACAAAGAGACACAACAGTAATTATAACAGTATTTTAGCGTGAATACTTTAAAGGAATCCCATACACATACACATACACATTTTGTTGCAGCAGTACATTTATTGTTGAATGGATACAACAACAGTCTATATTCATGTTCTGCTTCAACGCAAAAGGCTTCTTTCAAAACTCTTGACCCGGCTTCGGTATGAAAGCAAACCTATACCACAACAGTGTACAATATTCTCAATAATTCATTCACGCACTGTGCTGTATACTATAACAATTCTCCTGTTCATATCAAGCAGCAGATTTTCTCCTCAAAGACCAATGAAAATGACTTGCACGTCCTCCCCTTAGCAGCAGCCTCCCTGTGGGTATAATATGCCGGCCTGTCCCTCTCTCTCTCTCTCCCCAGATGTTGGTCTTAAATTAGATCCGATGCAGCCCACCCACCAACCCACCAAAATCCAGGGCATGGCGGGTTTTAAAGTAAACACATATGAATAAGTCAGCAGGCTGTAGGGCGCCTGTCAGGAGGCATCTTGTTGTTGATAATCTAACGCTGGTGGTGCCCTCTTGTGCTAATTGCTCAGGGAAGGCTGCTCAGTGTGGCTTGGCATCCAGCGCACAGATGCAAAATGGACCCTATTAATCAAGATAAGACGAGGCTGAGCAATACTGTGCTTTTGCGATGCACGACACGCAAAAAAACAACGTGTGAAAGTGATGGAGGATCAGAGAAACGGGTAAGCCTGCAGTACCCGTTTGGGCCAACAGAGGTCACTATTCCACTTGTGCACATCAGATAGGCATGCATTTCAATTACACTCGAGAGATTTATTGAAGGAATTAACATATACCCACCCCTGAAGTGGATAGTTTGTGCTATCCATACAGGCTGTGACTATGGCTACTGATGAAATGACTTTCTTTGGAGGAACTTGATAAATAGCTGCCTGTAGCCTTGAAAGCAATTGATCTGAAAAGAAAAATGTCTGAGATGTTCTTGCTGAATCTCTGACGGTTTTATTTTGCAAATACATGTAATAATGCGGGTGTGCAAAGACAACAATACAATAGAAATAAAGACGCTGCAGATGCAAGTTCAAAAAAATAAGAGGGCATGGCATTCGACTTTTCATTTTCTAATCCATTGAAATGTGTTTGGACTGGCGCGCCAAATAATCTGCTCTCATTTTACTCCCCACTTGTCCTTCCTTTCTTACTAGAACAAACGCATTAGTACGAGGGCCACTTTCGTTCACCAAAATTGTCCAGGATTCAGGCTGAGCTTTGGAATGAGGTATGAATGACAAATCTTTTAGTGTTGGAGAAAAGTCAACATCTGGATTCCAGAGATCCTGATCTTCAGAACAATGTATTATGTGCCTATGTTGTCGGAGCTTAAGTTGACTGGATGACACCGTGAACTTGTGTTTATCATCTCAAAGACTACTTAATATTAGCAAGGCAGTGATTGGTCCACAGACATATGTACTTGTACTAAACCCTATGGAATGCAAAGTAAAGGGGCCGTATGTAATATGCACTCTCAGTGGTTTAATAAAGTGACTACAATTACAATCCAATTTTGTTGCCAGAATGTAACCTGCCATCTAACTCTTGTAGCTACTAAGCACTGACTAATGCAATCCACCTGCTGGGGTTTCGCAAGTAACAGTACAAACTCTGTGTATTACATATAGGTATTCTTTCATTCAAACAAGTGTGCAGTGCTTCTTTTGTTTTTTTTTGTATTAAGACACCAGCCAAAACCAGCTAAATTCCACCAAACAAATTGGCAACCTAAATGAGCGAAACATTCTACTCTCTGATTGGATCATCTGCTTGAAAACCATAAATGCCCATTGCGTTAAGAATCACTCCACTTTAAACTTTTGTCCAGAAAAGGTCAAAGATTTCCCATTATCTGGGGACACATACAGTACAAGATGTAGATGTAATTTAAAACGAAAATATTACATTCTGTCCTTGGGAACAACACTGCAGTTTATCATTAGGACAAAAACCTCTAAACAGATCCATTTCACGTCTCTCCATGCTCCTCCTGTTCTTCCCTCTGCTGTCATTTTTTTTCTTCTTTTCAGGTCAGTGCATCTGGGAGAGGTGAGAAAGTGGCGGCAAGAGAGAAAGAGAGAGAGAGGAGGGGGGCCGAGAGTTAAAGCAAATTGAGATGGCTGCTGCTCAGTCTTTGGAGCAGCGCCGGTGTCAGCAGAGTAGCCCGTAAATAACCTCTTTTATTAGGACCGTAATGATCCCCAATGAATATCGACAGGCGGACTATGATGACTTTGTAGCGGAATATCAGTAATTAAGTTTCCACAGGAGCGGGAGGAGGTGGAGGTAAGGTCATATTGATCGTCGGCGTTGGCGGCGTGTGCAACATGTCAGCGAACAGGACATCAGAGAGGCTGCACAGAATGGTTCAAGCTGTTGAAAATCATCCAAAATATCTTATCGCACACGACGAAATGAGCAGATGAGTTTGAATGAATTCAATCACGCACATATTGTCTTGAGCAGATTTGTTTCCCTGACAGATCATTTTGCTCATCAAGGCGAGAGTTTTTCACTTTGACAAAAAATCATGTTCATCTGGAATCAAGAGAAACTACATCAGTTTGCAGTAAAATGGAGATATGTCTTGTTCCACTTGAAAATATTGTGTCGTAATTCTCAAGTCTCAAAAAATCAAGACATAATGATGTAGTATTTGTAGAGCAGTCATTGGACGTGAGGGATGTAAAGTGTTTGACAATCTTAAGATTCCTTTATTTCTATATTCTTTTATTTTTCCCAGATTGTTGCATCACAGATTACAAAACAGTAGGAACGAGGAGCACACAGACCCAAATAAGGTAAGTGATTATTAAGGTTAGACCAATTCTACACTTGAACAAAGCACGGTAAACTACACAGAGTAAACCATGATCCTTTGCGCTGTGTTGTCACAAAACTGCGGTTAAGCTAACAGGAGTCACGGTTTGGAGGATGCAGGTGAAATGGAAACTGTTCTGATGCTGAGATTGTTCAAGCCCCTGAAGCGTTAAAACTTTAATTTTCCCTCCTTGAAGAAAGCAATGCGGAAAAAATGTAGGAGCCCTGGTAAAAGTGCCTAAAACCAAATGATAGAGATGCCCAAATGAGGCAGACTTCAATTACAAGCTTCAAGTAGATATAGAGACGCCAAAAGAGATCCAGCAAATGGTTGAGGAAACCAATAAAGGGTTAAGGTCAAATGTTTGGACGAATTTTTCCGTAGCATTTTCAAATAACTCTACAACAGAGAGGGTGGACAGTGAACCATGTGCAAGCACTGCAGTTCAATATAACACAGAAGGCCAGAGCAAGATGACGAACAAGTCCTCTGCAAAATAAATCTAGTCTCTCA